GTTTTTTTGGGTGCTGAAGCAGAGAACGTGGGGCTGGAAGGGAGTCTGAAGGGTCATCCTGTCCATCTTGTGGCCTCAAACCGGGCTTGGGCTGCTTCAAGCGTCCTCAGGTGTTGCTTGCCACTGCTGGACATTGCACTCCTCATGTCGCCTGTCCTTGGGCCGGGCTGTCCTGCCAGGGAGAATGCATTTTTCTTAATGCCTACCCTAAAAAAGGCTTTGCCATAATTTCAGCTCCAAAGCCAGGATGGTCCCTGACACCGTTTGAGGACTGTGATGTGGTAGGCTTAAGACCACAGCCCGGCATATTAGGGAAGGATATAATTTACTGGCTTAGGCTCCCCAGCTTAGCAAGCGTTTGTCCTTGCTGCCTCCCAGCTGCAGATCCCGCGTCCCTCTGTGCTAATGCAGTAAGCCTCCCGACATCCCCGAGGGCAGCAGTTAATCCCCTGTTCTGAAACACAGAAAATTTCCACCGTGTGTGCTCCCAGGCACCTGGCTGGCGTGCAGTAAAGCCACCCTGGATCTCCTCTCCCCTGCATGGAAACACGCTGCTCCTCCACCAAGGGCAGCGGCTCACAGCTCAGTCCCCAGCACGCTTCATCGCCACCTCAGAGGAAGATTTCAGCAGTGGTTTAACAGCAGATCCAGAAGAAACTGTCCGGCCAGATCTCATAACAATGCTATCCTGTCGGACATGCATTTATTTCTCCCACCTCAGACTTTCACCCTTCACCTGGAGCTCCTTGCCAGCCAGCACCTCCAGCGTGGTTGGACCAAGCACATGGAGGTGCCACCATCCTTGCTGCCGCCACTCACTGGCTTCAGAGCTGTCACCCCTCCTCACATCTCCCGTCCCCTCCATGCCTTTCAGGATAGGGAGCGCAGAAACCCGACGGCAGCGCCCGCGTGGGAAGATCAGGCAGCGTGTGCTGGGTGCCTGCTACGTGGTTAACCCCAAGCAGTGGCATCTCAGGGGTTAATGAGCCCTGGCATGGGGGTGCCCCAGCCTGCCTGCGGTTGGGTGTTATTTAAAAAAGAGGTGAAAACCCAGAGGATGCTTGGCAGGAGCTGTGGAGAGATGCATGGGCAAGGAAAGCCCACCGCATTTGGGGGTACAAGAGCTGCAGGGGCTTTAGAGGTGGATTCGTGGCGCTCAGACCAGGGCGATAATCCACCTCAGTGCCCTCACCATGCTGAAACCAGGCCCGGGGAGCCAGGGCTGGTGAGGGGAACCGGACCCCAGCAGGGACCGGGAAGCCGCTGCCTGCCCGGAGGCCGAGGCATGGGGACACACATGCCCATGCGAGGGCTGTCTCCATCCTTCACTGCTCCTGCTGGGGCTCGTCCTGCCCCGTGCCGCAGGGTCTGCTCTCCAGAAAGATGTCTGCCTTGGGGGATGTCTGCTGGGGGATGCCTTTCCCTCGTCCGGCTTAGCCGGAGCGGTGCCGGACGCGGCACATGGGAAGCTGCCGCTGTGCCCATGGGAAACCCGATCCTTCCCACGGCCAGAGCGGAGGGAATGGCCGGAGCGGAGGGGTGCCACCGGGCTGAGATCATGGCCTGAAATACCCGGAGAGAGGGCCACCACACCAGGCCAGCCCGCCCGCCGCTGCTAGGCCCTTCATGGGCAGCATCAAAGCCCCCAGCCCCAGCACAAATGCTGCCCACGGGACCCCCGTGCCCAGGCCGGCTCCAGCCACCAGCCTGCACAGGGACACCTGGCAGCAGTTGGCCACACTCCCCGGAGCAGCAGGGCACGGGGCCAGCACGACGAAGCACTGGAACCAGGGGAGACAAGGCAAAGCCACAGATGCAGGATCCGGGTAGACCCTGGCGCCAGCAAATGAGTCAGGGGGCCAGGATGGGCAGGCATTCCCCGGGGAAGGGCTCCTCGACCCAGCGATGCTGCAGGCAGGCTAGTTTGCAGGTCCCGCTCCTCCCATACCCTGGCAGGGGACAGTGTGGGTAGAAGGTTCCAAGAATGCCTGGGAGGAGAGTTTCTCCCAGCCCTGTCCCTAGGGCCGCACCGGGACTTGCCTTTTGAAAGGAACCGGAAAACCAAAATGATTTTCAACCCTGCCCGTTATGGAAAAGCCTCTGAAATGTGAGCCCAGAAAGCAAATAGTCTTGTGGCTGTCATGCTCTCGGCCAGAGCAGGGGCCGTTTGACGGTAACTTGGGGCCCTTTGAGTCCTTTGCGACACAGGCGCTGCTCCAGCTGCGGCCCCGGGGCACCCCAGCAAAGGTGGCACCGGCAGTAGGCACACTGGCACACCGCGGCGGCCCGGCAAGCTGCCCTTCCTTCACCGCGTGCTGGGGAAGGATCCATTCCCAGGACGCTTCTGGAAGCGGCCTCAAAACTTGCTGCCCCAACGAGTGGAAGAAAATTGCTGTTTGGAAAAGAGGGCGGGAGCGAGCAGGGTGTTTTCAGGGGGAGCAGGTTGTGCTTGCAGGGTGATGTGAGTCACAGGGCTGGAGAAGGGCTGGACGGGTGACGCCAGGGGACAGGATGCTCCCCAGCGTCACGCTGCCCCAGGGCAGGGCGAAGCCCCGCTGCGGGCGGACCATGCCGGCTCCCAGCAGGACTGGCCCCTCTCTGGACACGTGCGGCCAGTGACTCCTCTCCCCGTCACCGCGTCCCTCCCGTGTCCTGCACAAGGGTCCCAGTGCCAGCCCTGGGGCTGCTAAACGGCGGCTTTCCCTCCACCGGGGCATGGAGACACCGGCCACAGTGGGCACGGCGGCCCCGGCTTCTCCCAGGGAGCTGGGGCTTCCCGAGACATTTCTGTGCCTCAGTTTCCCATCCCCACACCTGGTTGTTCCTCCCTTCCTGCCATGATGCCGGTGTGTGCTTCAGGTGGGAGATCGCCCCGGGAGCCAAGGGTGGAGTACGACAAAAATAGAGCTTTATTTCGGGACAAGTGCAATCAGAGCTGGGTCCTTTGGCCCCAGCGCGGAGACGGTGAGCGTGGCAGCAGCCACCACGGACGCCACGTGTGGTGGTGCTGGTGTGCCCATCAGGACGCGCATGGTCGTGTGTGCCAGCATCAGTGCCAGGGCATATGCACGCTGGGACGTCCCTTTTCCAAGGTGAGCGTGTGCCGTGCCGCAGTCCGGCACCATCCCGGAGCGATGGCGGGTGGGTCTGAGCCGTCCCCGTCCCCTTTGCTGGGTTCTCGCCATCTCTGCGAGGGAGCCCCGGGGTGGGCAGGCAGCCCTGCCCGCGCCTGCCTGCTCCAGCCACGGCAAGCTGGGAGGGACGGGGCCAGAGCCGTGGTGGCCGGGAGGGCACGTGACTGACGGCAATGCCGGCGGTACCGCCAGCAGCCCAGATCAGCACGACACGGTGGGGTTGGGGATAGGAGAGGGGACACTCACCTGCCCCATTCCCGGGCATCTTGTTCAGCCACGAGAACCACACGTACACACAGCCCCGGGCTTACTCCAGCCAGCAGAACTCAGTAGTGACACACACGCACGCGTGCACACACGCACACGTGCACACACACGCACACGGGCATGCACACACACGCAACACACACACATGCGCGCGCACACACGTGCTGCTCTGTGTTTCCCCAGGTGGGACAGCAGGCAGACGCGCAGAGTTGTGTATCTGCAGCCACGTCCCTGAGTGTGCCCAGCCTGCGTGTGCACACGGGGACACGCGTGCAGAGCCGGTGCATGCAGCTGCATGCGCACGCAGGTACCTGCTCACCCACACAGAGCCTGCGTGCACACCGGTACTTGTCAGCCTGCGCGTGCACGCACACACACACGCCCCCGTGCACACAGAGCTGTGCACGCGTGGAAGTGCATTTGCACACACAGAATCTGTGCACATGTGCACGCAGAGGCTGTGCACACCAACACACCTGTGCACACCTGCACATAAGGCTCTGTGCAGAGACACACTTGTGCACGCGGTACCTGTGCACAGCAGCACGCCCCTGCCCACATGCATAAGACCTGCTTGCACACACAGAGCCTGTGCATGCCAACACATAAGCTTGTGCACACCAACACACGCGTGCTCCCGTGCACAGAGCTGTGCGCAGGGACGCACGCGCAGGGCCTATGCACACCCATACACATGTGCACACCTGCACATAAGGCTCTGCACACACAGCAACACACTTGCACACACAGAACCTGTGCACACCAGCACATGCATGCCCACATGCGCGTACAGCCGTGCACACAGACACGCTCACATGTACAGTCTATACCAATGCACACGTGCCCACATGCGTGAGACCTGCTTGCACACGCAGAGCCTTCACACACCAACACACATGTGCCCCCATGCACGCATAGCCACACGCAGTGACCCACTCACACTTGCAGAGGCTGTGCACACCCAGACATGCGCACATGCACAGAGCTGTGCACAGACCCACTTGCACATGCAGAGCCTCTGCACATCAACACACACGTGTGCACAGGGCCATGCACACCGACACACGTGTGCCGAGCTGTGCGCACCAGCACACACATATGCACAGTGCCATGCACATCAGTAGACGTGTGCACACAGAGCTGTGCACACCAAGACACACGCACGCAGTGCCATGCACAGCAGCACACACATGTGCACAGAGCTGTGCACACGACACACGTGTGCACAAAGAGCTTGTGCACACTAGCACATCCACGTGCACAGTGCCGTGCACACCAGCACATGTGTGCACACAGAGCTGTGCAAACCAGCACACGTACAGACAGGTCTGCGCACACCAGAAAACACATGTGCACACAGAGCCGTGCACACCAGCACACCTGTGTGCACACACAGGGCCATGCACACCGGCACACCCATGCGCACACAGTGCCGCGCACACCGGCACACCCGTGTGCACAGTACCACGCACACCAGCCCTTCCGTGCGCCCGCAGAGCCGTGCATGCCCGCACGCCCTGCCCCGTGCACGCAGCCCATGCACCCGCAGAGCCGTGCTCGCCCCCGGCTTCCCATCTGCCCCCGTCCCCGGCGGGGACCCTACTCCCGCCTGGGGGGGCCTCGTCCCGGCCGTGCCGCCCAGCGTGCCGCAATGAGGTCCGGCTGGTGGTACATGAACATCCCGGCCAGCGTCAGCCCGATGCCCAGGTAGCTGAGCCCGCTCAGGTGGCTGCCGAAGAGGAGGCGGGAGAGCAGCAGATTGCCCACCACGGTGACGTTGCCCAGGATGTGGACGGTGAGGGCGGAGGTGAGGGAGAGGATGCAGAAGGTGGCCAGGTTGTAGAGGACGGAGCCCAGGCAGCTGAGCAGGACGCAGGCCCAGAGGGTGCCGTCGTAGCGCAGGACGGCCTCCCAGGAGGGACCCACTTCCAGCGCCACGGCCGCCCCAAAGAGCAGGCAGAAACTGGGCAGGGAGGTCAGGCAGAGCAGGGAGAGGGCGTCCAGCCGGTCCTCCTGCAGCAGCAGACCTGGGGAGGGTGGACGGGGACAGTCAGCAGGACACCCGGACCGCCCCAAGGGGGGACACCCAGCAAAGCCGCGGGGGCACCCACCAGCACGAGCCCCTGCTCGGTGCCCAAGCAGCTAAGAAATCCCAAACGTCACCGGGAAGGGGGAAATCGGGGGGGAATGGGGGGGGGGGGTGAAAGCCCCTTCCATGGGGTTGGGGGTGCCCTGGTTCAGGGGGTGCCTCGGTTTGGGGGTCCACAGCACCGCAGGGCAGGGTTGGACAGGGTAGTTTCCCCACCCCATTTTGGACCAAACATGGCTTCCACCCCCCACCCCCCCATCCTCTTTTTTTGGCTGATTTTGCAGCCAGCAGCAACGTTTCTGGGCGGGTGGCCTGTCCCCTCTGTGTCCCTGTGACACCCGCGAGGCATCCGGGGACAGCGAGCCCAGCC